GCTTCTTTCAGAGATGCCTACCACCCTCCCCCTCAGCTGTATTTTCCAGGGAACTTGCTTAGACATCTTTTCAGATCCCTGGCATCCATACTCACTATAGGAGTAAAAAGCCCCAAATATCTCCTTCCCCTGTACTTTCATTCCCATTCTGCTTTGGGATTGCTCTCTCATCTACTCTCATCTTCACTCTCTCCCGGGCTTATTCACTAGTTTATTTTATTAAAAAACATGTCCCCACATACTTGATTCTATCACAGACTATTCCCTCTATTTCTTTGGCTGGCTTTTTCCAAAAGAACTGGTTCTCCTTCAACCTTACAAAAAGAAGACTCACTCTCTCACACCCAGTACCTCAATCAGGATGTGGGATCAGATTTCAGATCATTGCTCCTCTCTCTTCCTGTAAATGTTTCTAAGGCTGTGTGTTGTCCGGCCTTAGAAAGGAAGGGAGTACAGTGTAATGGTTAAGTGACCTCCAGAAACAGGTAGCTTGGATTTGAATCTCAGTTAAACCACTTAGTAGCTGTGTGACCTTGGACAAGTTATCTAACTTCTTTGTGTCTCATCTGTAAAAAAAAAAAAAGAAAGGGGGGACATTGTGCCTACTCTATAGGTGAAAATAAATGAATCAATATAGTGCTCACTTTTGACAGATAGCATTCTGTAAATGTTTGCTGTTATGATTATCCCTTCCACTCATTCTTGTCCTCTACTATCCTTCTCAACTCATTCATTGATGACCCTGGCACCTGACTCTGCAGCATATGAATGTTCATCAGACACCCTGGCTTCTTAGTTCCTTGACTTCCTCAATTTGAATGTCCTTAACCTCTATTGCTTTTCAGCTACACAAATCCATGAACTTCCTTGTAACTGGGAAGTTCTACCATTGAAGCATTAAATGTAAAACATCCCACTCTGACCAAAATCTTCTATGCTCTCAGCTTTCAGTTCATTATTCTGTAACATTATTTTTAAAAGTCATTGTGGACTCCATCCCTCAAACCCCTATCAGTCATCTCCCACTATCACTCCTCTAGCCAGTCAACCACTCTCTTGCCACTAGCCTCAAAATTTTTGCTTTCTTTAATTTCCACTGTTACAGATCCCATCCCCACATAAATTCAGTGGAACTACCCTGTCCTTGGTGCAAACTGTGGCTGGAGAAAATCACACATCCACCCTGTCTACAATAGAGATGAGAAATAGATGGAGAAATAAAGAGTCCTGGTGGCTTTGCATCTGCAGTTTTGGTTCTTGAGGTCCTACCTGGTTCCTGCCACTCCTGCTTTGACTCTATGAGCTCCTTCAGTGCACTTTCTGTGAGCCAATATATTTCCACTTGCTTAGCTAAATTGAATTGGGTTTCTATTAAAACAATCTTGACTAATATGCCCCTTCCATCCAAGACTGGTTTTGTATCCCTTCTTTGTTCCTTCAGTAACATCCAGTGTTTACCACTGTATTTTTGAAAAGAACGATGTCTAATTTATCCATGATTACTTTAGCAGTGGTCACACTGAATTGTTGTTATCTGTTTATCTGTCTCTATCACTAAACTGTAATCATCCTGAGAGTTGGGACTTCAATCTTGGATATAATAGTTTATCAGTCTATGTGAGATGAATGAATGATCAAATGGACAAATGAAGTGTGATCTAAGATCATGGGCTTTGGTATCAAAAAGATCTAGACTTGAATTCTGGCTGTATCACTTATTCTCTGGGTGACATGAGATAATTTGCTTAACCTCTCTGAACCTTGGTTTCTTTGTTACCTGTAATCTATAAAATGTGGATAATAATGGCTACCCTTGAAGAATATCATTAGAATTAAGTGAAAGATGTACAAATAAATGTCCGCTACCTAGAAGAGCTCTGTAAATGGTAGCTTTAAAAGGGAGGGAGGCATGGAAAGACGTGAAGATAAGTGGAGAGGACTCATTGGTCACTACTAGGGAGAGCACTCGTCACCTTGGATCTCTGGGAAGGGAATATACAGGATACTTTCAGGAGGGTAGCTAGAAAAAAAATGATCGAGCAAAGAAGACAACCACAACAGAGAGGAACCAAAGTGATTACTAAACTAAGTTATTTGAGGATAGTGACTGTATCTCTTTTATTAATATATTTTTAGCACCTAGCATTGCAAACAACCTTGCAAATGTTTATTGAATAAATGAATGAATATTGATTAGGATCTTATCAGATTCTTGGCCTTGATAAATAATCTATAGATGTATGTTATTTAAAATAATGTAAATATAAATTTAATAGAAATGGGTATTAAAATATATTTGCAAAAAAGAAATATAAGCTTTTTTAAATGTGGAAAATTTAGCTGGACATGGTAGTACACACCTGTAGTCCTAGCTGCTTGGGAGGCTGAGGCAGGAAGATTGCTTGAGCCCAAGAATTCAAGACTGCAGTGAGCTATGATCACACTACTGCACTCCAGCTTGGGCAACACAGTGAGACCCTGACTGGTATTTAAAAAAAAAAAAAAGGTATGTGTTTTTTTTAGTATTTTTCTAAATTCTTTTCCCCCCCTTTGGAAATATATTTTGTGAATTCACTTTACGATATCAGATAACCATATAATCAACAAATAAAATTTTCAGTGTTTGTAAGACCCTTTTATTTAAGAGGACCATCCTAACTCTCTAGTCATTTGCCTTGAAAATGACTAGATAAGCTCCATTTAAGCATATGAAGCTTGAAATTTAAGGAAAAGGACAGAAGAGAAATGTGGAAAAATTACAAATAAGTTTAATTCACATTTTTAAAGTCTTTGGAACTCACTTCACAAAACTTCAATATCCTATTGTTTATGTAGTTGTTAAAATTTCAGCTTAGGAAATTTCCCCAGTCCTCAGTCTTGGTTTCCATAGATAGATAAGAAATTCAGGATTTGAAACATGAGACATTGATCTTTGACAGTGAGGGAAAAACCTGAAACTCTTCTTTCATTTTTGTTTTGTTCCCAGTGAAATCTGAAGCATTTAAAAATTCATCCCATATCTATATTGACACCCAGGATTTTTCCTTATCATCATGACTTGGGAGATAGTAAGTCTGACCACCAGAAACTGTTACCACAGGAATAGTCAACTCTTTTCCCTACCCTTAATTTTCACAGGATTGAAATCATCTGAATTTTAAGTTTTGTATTTTGCCTTTTTCAGTTATATTTCTAACATAAGACTTTTCCGTGCAATTAAAAATTACCTATAAATGTAATAATGTTTAGTGGCTGCACAGTATTTGTTGTATGAATGTATCATAATTTTTGTAACCATTCCCCTTTTTTTGAACACTTGGGTTTCCAACTTTTAGTTGTTACAAACCACACTACAATGAAAAGTTTTGAGCAAAATGTTTTATTTCAGATTATTTCCTAAGCAAAGTTCTCCCCAGAAGAATTACTAGTTCAAAAGCCATAAAAATATCTTACTTTCTCAATACCTACTGTCAACTGACTTTCACCAACAGTTTAAGAGAGTGCCTATTTCAATACGCCTTTCCAGTCTTGGCTAGTCTTAAGAGAAAAGTTTTTGACTAATTTGATACATGACATTATGTCTAATTTTGACTTGTATTTATTGGATCACTGTAGAGGTTCAATTCTTGGCCATTTTTGTGAATTGAATTGTTTATTTTTCTTTTTAGATGTTAATGTTTTGTTGATATGCATAAAATCTTTATTTAAAAAATGTAGTGTCTGGGCTGGGTGTGGTGGCTCATGCCTGTAATCTCAGCAATTTGGGAGGCTGAGGCAGGTGGATCATTTAAGGTCAGGAGTTCAAGACCAGACTGACCAACATGGTGAAACCCCACCTCTACTAAAAATACTAAAATTAGCTGGGTGTGGTGGTATGTACCTGTAATCCCAGCTACACGGGAGACTGAGGCAGGAGAATTGTTTGAGCCCAGGAGGCGGAGTTTGCAGTGAATCGAGATCACACCACTGCACTCCAGACTGGGCGATGGAGGGAGACTCCATCTCAAAAAAAAAAAAAAAAAAATGTAGTGATGTAGTGTCTGTCATATTATGGATATTTTTCTCAATTTGATTTTTACCTTCCACTTAATACACATTTATGTGAATCTCCCCCATGTGCCAGGCACTAGTCTAATCAAGGATGAAATAGACACAGTCCCTGCCCTTAAGGATCTTACAGTCTAACAGAGGGAAGCTGGCAGATAAACAGTGACTGCAATAAAATTTTCACATACTCCACCAGAAGTACAAATAGGCTATAGTGGATGCACTAAAAGACGTGAGTGGCCAATTGGACATGTTGGGGCCAGGAAAAGGCTTCAGAGACGATTCTTAACTAAGAATAAAAAGCTTTACTAGAGTGACAAGGGACAAAGTAGGAAAGGCATTCCAAGCAGAGGAACACCAAAAGATAGGGCCGGAGATCTGGTTAGTGGATTTGGGTTTGGCTTTAGTAGTTGGGTTTGTCTGAGGAGTAAAATGTCAGGAAAATCCAGTAGAAGAAAGGGCTGGAGAGACCTCAGAAGTCACATAATTTTAAAAATCATACATAACTTTTTGAGTAAGCTTTCCCTTTCTGATCTTACATAATGTTTAACATTAAAAAAAAAAAAATCCTTCCTAGCCCCAGAGATTTGATGTTTACCTTCATTTTCTTCTAGTTTCTGTTTACATTTAATCTATCAGGAGTTGACTTTGGTATATAATGGCAAACTTCATTTGGATCTTATTTTTTCTGTTTTAATGTTTATATGGGTCACTAAACTTCCTTCTGTAACCTTACTTTAATAATGGGTAAAAACAGGGGGTGTTAAATATCTAATAAAGAGTATTTATGCCCAGGTGGGGACAATGCTAAGGACAACAAAAGAAATTTCACTGGGGTTTGCTATTTTAATACCTAAATACCCAAAGGGAGCTGTACCAAACATCACGAGTGCAGATATGCAGCCTTTTAGGGTCCTGGCTCTCAGAATACCACTACTACTTTGTATTCATAGACCTCAAAAATTCATAATTTTTGAGGAGCCAACCATGTTTCCACAAAAAGTAATTTATTTACATGATAACTGAAGAGGGGAAAGGGAGGAGAAATATATCATTGCCTACTTCATTTGTTTACTACTACCAGAAATTAGGTGGAGTCAGGCTTCCTCCCCTGATGCCAGCTGGAGATTGAGTGGGGTTGGCATCACTGCTGTACCGGCCAGACACTGAGACAGTTGACAACTGAGAGCTGTGATTGGTTAGAAAGGCAAAAGTAACCCTACCAGATTGGCTCTGGACTCCCCCAGATTCCCCTGTTGTTACTTCATAACATTCTGAAGACCTGTCCACCAATCACAGGACTCCTTACTGGAAAAACTAACTGCTGGTGAGTGCCAAGAGTCCCTAGCAACGCCCTGCAGCTTTTGAAATCTGAGGGGAAAAGACTGTAGTCAGCCCCTAGTGGATGAGAGCACCTATGCCCCAGAAAGAGCAGGCTCCCAGGATGGACACCTCGCCCCCTGAAGAACGCTTAGAGAAGCAAAATGAAAAACTGAACAACCAGGAAGAGGAGATGGAGTTTAAGGAACTGGACGATCTGAGGGAAGCCTTGGCTAACCTCCGGGGACTGTCAGAGGAGGAGAGGAGCGAGAAGGCTATGCTTCGCTCCCGCATTGAAGATCAGTCCCAGCTCATCTGCATCCTGAAGCGGAGGTCAGATGAGGCCCTGGAGCGCTGCCAGATCCTAGAGCTGCTCAATGCAGAGCTGGAGGAGAAGATGATGCAGGAGGCTGAGAAGCTCAAGGCCCAGGGTGAGTACACTCGGAAGCTAGAGGAACGCTTTATGACCCTAGCAGCCAACCACGAGTTGATGATCCGCTTCAAGGATGAGTACAAGAGTGAGAACATCAAACTGAGGGAGGCGAATGAGAAACTGAAGCTGGAGAATAGCAACCTCTTCAGCCAGGCTCTGAAAGATGAGGAGGCAAAAGTATTACAGCTCACAGTCCGGTGTGAGGCCCTCACTGGGGAGCTAGAGACGCTGAAGGAGAGGTGTGCTCAGGATGCTTGCCAGGCACAGGCGCGCGAGAAGGAGCTGCTGGAGCTACAGAGCCAGCAGGCCTGCACCTACACCAAGGAGAGAGAACAGCTGCGCAGCCAGCTGCAGACTCTGAAGCAGCAGCACCAGCAGGCTGTGGAGCAGATGGCTAAGGCAGAGGAGACACACAGCAGCCTGAGCCAGGAGCTGCAAGCCAGGCTGCAGACCGTCACTAGAGAGAAAGAGGAGTTGCTGCAGCTGTCAATGGAAAGGGGCAAAGTGCTTCAGAACAAACAGGCAGAGATCCGCCAGCTTGGGGAAAAGTTGGAGATAGCAAATGAGGGCAGGAAGCATGCGCTGGAGCGGTTTAAGCAAGAGGCAGTAGCTGTGGACAGCAACTTGAGAGTCAGGGAGCTTCAGTGCAAAGTAGATGGGATCCAGAAGGCCTACGATGAACTCAGGCTGCAGTCTGAAGCCTTCAAAAAGCACAGCCTGGATCTTTTAAGCAAGGAGAGAGAACTCAATGGCAAACTCCGCCATCTCTTTCCATGAGCAAGTTTCTGCTTCCTCTGGCCTGCAATTCAGAATTCAAATATTTGTGTCTTAGCATTATGGCAAGAGTAAAGATGATATCCCATTTATTATACTTTTAAGCACAAAAGGCAACTCAAAGAAAAGCTACTTTACTATGATATTGTTGTGATTATTGTAAAGCCATTATTAATTTTCATTTCTACCACCTAGAATACACAAGATTTGCCAGATTTCCTTCTGTGCCTTAGAAATCTTAAATTTACTAGTAGTATCTTCTCCTACCCATAACTTATTAATTCTCAACCTCAGCTATCTTCATATATTTTAGGATTTTAAATTGGCAACTTCTATGATTTAAGTTAATCTAAATGCAGTGAGATGTGCCATTGTGAAAAATAATTAGCACAATTACCCATTGTAGATAGTTAGGCTTATAGTCTCCCATAGTTGAGATTGTAAGCAAACAGTTATCAGCATAATAGCGTGAATACTTTGTGGGAAAAAAAATTGTCTGACTTTATTTTATTTTGCACTAGCTTGGAAAATGATTGAGATCAAGTTCTTTAACGAAGTGGGTCAGTTTTATTCTATATTAGCAATATGATTCAAATAAGTTATATAAAACCATTTTTATTTTTTCTGCAAGCTTAGATAATATTCCTTTTTTTGTTTTCTCAAAAAGAGGATTTAGATGTGTAATAATGCAAATACCAGTAGCTTAATTTAATATTGTAAAATATGCTAATAGACAATTAGACAATTTGGGGTAATAAATCATAGCAGACATGATCTATAGAGTAACTCAGAAATTGTTTTCTGTTTCTATTAGCATTTTTTGTAATTAAGTTTTTCCTTTTTTTAAAAAAAAATCTAAGCTGAATGTGTATATGTATGCTTGCAGCATTTTTGTAGTAATTACCTACATTTTGTAAGAATACTTATAAAAGCATAGTTTTATATATATATATATATATCCATGTAAAGTTCTTTAAAAAGTTCTCAAAGGTATATTTTCTTATCTTCCTGTAATTAGGTATTGACATATAAACATTATTATGAATACCTCTCAAAATAGATTGTAATGTAGTATTTTTCTCACCCATTTTGGTGAAGGCTACCAAGTTACATAATGAATTTACTTAAAAAATATGACTTGGTGCCTTTTTAATAAAACTATTTCCAAGCAAGTGTTACCTTACCTCAGGTAATTGTTTACACCCATTTTTTCACACTTCTATTAAGATTATGCTATTAAATACAAACTTTTCTCGTCAAAATAGAAACCACACTGCCAGCTTCAAAGGACTATTTACTTCTTCCTACAGGTTACCAAGAATCAGAATATAGGAGCTAAGTTAATCATGGATATCCTTTATTGAGCCCATACTATTTATCATTGTGCTGAAGCAATTTGGATGAATTACTTTATTTAATCCTTAGGATTATTCAAGAAGGAGAGTGTGCTCATTTCTATTTTAAGGAAGAGGAGACTGGTTTCGGGAATTTTGCTTAAGGCCAGTTGGTCACTGGAGGAGCTGGGATTTTGATGAGTACAGCACATTGAAAGATAATTTTTGGCGACTGAGTGCCAGGTGCTGGGGTAGGCACTAAGAAGAAGCATAAAGAAGCATGTTTATTGCCCTGGAAGAGCCCTCATACAGTCTAAGGGCAATAATAATAATAATAACAACATATACTGTGATCACAGGGGAAAGACATAGGTAGTATCTAGCCCTGCCTGGTGGTAAGGGTTGGGTTGGCTGGGAGGACTCCTAGGGATGATTAATTTCCTCAGGTGGAGAAAAGGGAGAAAGGGTTGAGATAGCCTCGTGTAGAAAGCATAGAGGTATTTTTAAATGCCCAGAATACTTGTGGGAATCATAGCAGCTGGGAAGAGGAGAGGAGACGCATGTGTACAGATAAAACTGTAAACAGTAGGTTGGAGCCATAATATAGGGGACCTTGAAAGCCAGGCTGGCCCGTTATATGAGAGAGAGGGAGGGGCGCGAGAGGAGGGGCAAACGTACAAACGGAAGCCACGGACCCAGCCCGCGTTTTCCCATCCAGATCCGCGCTGCTCTGCGAGGGGCCTGGTGCGCATGCGTGCCGACCCTCACGCCGCTCTACCGCTCCTCCTACCTCCCGTAACCTGCAAGTGCCTGCTCGGCTCATCCACCCGAAACTGCGGCCTCGTGGTCGTGCTTGGGGCCTAAGTTTTGCGCCCAGCCTGCTGGGAGAAGTCCCATGGGCAGAGGCCGAACGGTTCTGGAGCAGGCTGAGGGCCGTTTGGGTATGAATCCCGGAATTCCGGGTACTGGAGTGTGGTCTAGAAGGGGAGTGGGCTCCAGGGACTCCACGTTACGTGGGGGAAGAGCGCGTCTGGAAGATCGCGTCGGGGGAGTAGCGCAGGGGGTAGGGGCGCGTGTCCCCCAAAACTCGGGCGCAGGGGAAAGAGCCCAGTTGCCCTGGTCTGAGGACCGTAGTGTTCCAAGCTGTGCCAAGGAACACATACGTTTGATTCTTATTTGCCGTTTTGTAGATCCTAAGTCGTCAGATACGGGCCATTTAATAAGATTCACCCTAATACCCTTTTGAAAAATTTTGAAAGTGGGAAATGAGAGTAGAAAGTTAAAGATAGATGCCTCTGAAGAACAACCGCAGAAGAGCCCACAACATAGGCCAAGAGGAATGTGCACCTATCATGTGTCAGGTGCTTTTCATTCCGCCCTCATAACAACTCTTCAAGGGAGGTTCAGTTATCACAATTTTACAGGTGAAAAAAAGGGATACTCAGGGTGACTTGTCCAAAGCCAGTAAGGTTTGGAGAGGCAAGAGTGAGTTTTGAACCTAAGGCCCTGGGTATGCCGCCTACACAGGTCCCCACACCTGGTTTAATGCTCACTGTTGCTGTCGCGAAATTCTTATTAATTTTTTAACAAGCGGCCCCATATTTTAATTTTTGTTCTGGGTACTATCAAGGAAGTAGCTGGGCCTGTTTTCTGGCTCTAAAACCCATGCTCCAGAAGGAGCAAACTCCTTCTTACGAGCCTTAAAAAGGCATTGTCTTCCTCTGTGCTCCGTGGTACTTGATATTCCACTCTGTCAGTCCTCATATTTAATCTGTGACCCAGAGCCACATCAGGGGATAAGCAACCAGTTTATCTATTATGATATGTTGCTCTATTAAGTGATGCTTATCACTGGAACAAAGTGACAAAATGTAAATCGGCCTCCTCCAAACTACTGCCTTTGAAATTTAAGCAGACCTATATCCCTGCTGAATTTTTCTGCAACATCTACAAGCAGTAGCTCTCAAATGAAAGCAGAACAGAGATCCTAAAAGCAAATAATGTATGACTAGTGCCGTGTAGCTGATAGGTGTGACTTTTTGTTGCCTAAACTGTGAGCTCTTCAGTGTGCTGTAAGGAACTTGTCTGGTTCCAAAAAATTATGAAAGAGAGCTTGAAAAGAGGAGAGCTACAGGAGAAGTGAACTGACTGTTATTTTCAGAATACTAACTCTGCTTCAGTTAGAGAAAATGAATTCAAGTTAGTTTGTTTCTAGTAAACAAAATATTAATAGAAAATCTTTGTCAACCTGACTCCATATATTAAACAATTATTTAAAGAAAGTTGTTTGAAGGAGTACCTGCCCAGGTGCCTGCTGTTCTACTCAGCCCTCCTTTCCCCAGATACCGATGAGGTAGCTGTGGCTGAGTCAGGTCAGGGATATTCTGCTTTCTACTATGACGAGACCAACAGAGCTGGGCAGACTTGAGATACCACCTCTTTGCCCACAAAGAAAAGAGGACGATGACTCTTAACTGCTCCGCTAAAAGCCTACCCTCCCCCTCCAGACAGCTTGTCTGCCAGTGTCATTGGCCAAAATTGGGTCATATGCAAATACCTCAGCCAAGCATCTTCATAGGGCATGTTGCCAGCATGATTGATTTAGACCAATCAGGATCCACCCTGAGATGGGAATGAGGCCAGTCTGTGCCACATAGTGGAAGGGACTACCTGGCAAAGGCAGGGCTCTGCCAGCAGGAATGAAGGAGGATGGATGTTGGATGGTCCATCAATAGTGCCTTCTGTGCTACATCTGTTTAGACTGCCAGAGCCTTATCAGACAGGGAGCCTTTTTAAATCCTTAATCACAAGTCTTGGCCTCTTAAAAAAGTTACTGGAATTTGGGGAAGTGGCTGAGAATAAGCTTTTCTAATTATTGTGTAAATTGGATGTTACTTTCTAAACACTAAAAACATTAACTTAGGGGACACCTAGAGCTCTACAGATGAGTCTCCCTACTTGATGCTGTTCTCTCTAAAACCTCCTGTTTATTCCACTTGGGAAAAATGAATCGAAGAAAAAAACTTGTTCTTGCACAGATCTGTCTGGTCATTCATTACACATTCAACTGACTACGGTGCCCTCACAACACCCTTAATCCCCAGTCCCACAGAGGGACTCCTACCTTAGCTACTTGCCAGACAGTTCCCACTTAATGCTGTAATCCACTCTTATTTGTACTAGTCTAAAATAATCTTCGCTTTCATGTTTAAGGTTATTCATTACATCATTGTTAAAGCAAAAGATTGGAAATAGCTTACATACCATCAATAGGGAACAGGTTATATGAACTATGGATCCTGCACACTGTGGAACACAGTGCAACTGTAGAACAAAAGGAAAAGGAAGATGTTAGTGTATTGATATAGAACTATCTCCAGGATATATGCAGAAAAAAACACAAGCTATAGAGCAATATCCATATAATACTATATTCTGTGTAAGGGGGAGAGGAGGAGGGGTATTAGCATGCAAACATTTCCAGCTGCATAAATAAATATTGGGAAAAAAGTTGTTATTAGTGGTGTGGAAGCATAAAGGGAATGAGGTGGTCAGGGATAGGAATGGGAAAGAAACTTCTTAATGTATACCATTTTATATCATTTGACTTTTGAACTATGTGAATATATTACCTATTCAAAAGATAGTAAAATTGAAAACAAAAATAAAAGAATCTTCCACACATCTGTTTAATTTCCCAATAAGCTATATTTCTGTTTAGGCGATTTAAAAGCCTGCACATTTTCCCCCCTCCAAGAACTGGGGAGGCACGGCATATTTTAGATAAAGCCAAATATGGCCTGACAGATCTGGGTCAGAACGTTCAGCTGGAAGCTGCTGCTTTCACAAATGTTCAACAACATATGCCTAATGACAATATCTTTTTCTTCCCTAAAGAATGCCTCTCAATGATTAGTATTTCTCTCCTAAAGATTTGGATGTGTTAGCTTCTTTCATGGATTTTCACATGTCTGTATAAATCTTAGATTTTAGAGAGAGTGTTTTCTTATATATTCAAGCTTTTAGGCTTTTGGTATTCATTTTTGTTTTTATGCTGACATACCAACAAAAGGTAGAGGAGGTAGATCAGCTATTCTGATCTTTCATTTCTGATCTTTCTGATCCTAATTACTAACTCATTCACTGAATATATTGCATTAATTTAACAAATATTTATTGAGAGTCTATTAGCCAAGACACTATGCTAAGTGGTGGGATACAATGTGAGCAAGATAGAGACCTTATCTTCACTGACTTTGCATCTTTCTGGATGAGAAAAATGCTGAACAATAGGAGGACATGGAAGTGCATAGCAGGGTCCTCCAACCTAATGTAGGAGTGATTAGAGGAAGCTTTTCCTGGAGATGGATTTAAGGTATCTGTAGAATGTGTAAAAACTGTCCAAGAGAAGAGGAAAACATGAGAGTACAGTAGCTTGGAAAGCTTCACAGTACCTCCTGTTCCTGATCAAGAAAACTGCCTTTCCCAACAACTGTACCATTCAGGGCTACAGAATAAGCAGCTCCAAATAGATTCAAGAGATTCTCTGGCCAGATTAATCCCATTATGCTCACATCCACATTTACATTAGTCCTTTCCAGAAGTCTGAGCCTTCATAATCTTACTCAATCCTTCCCCTCCCCCGCCACCATTCCCATGCAAACTCTTTGACTGAGCCCTTTGGAAACTCAGATCTATGATCAGCAAACCAGCTGAAGTATTAGTGTAGTAAGCAAAAGGGTGCATTGGCATAAGACTGCCTAGATTCAAATCCTGACTGTTACTGGGTGACCTTAAATTAGGTCTTAGTGGGTGAAGTGGTAACCAGAAAGCTAAAATCTTCAGTAAGGAAGAGATATGAGGATAACATGGCATGAATTTCAAATTGGTATAACCATACAAAGAAAAGAATTATCCAAAAGGCTTTAGAAAACAGTATTTTCAATGAATATCCTTAATGGAGTATATTCCAAGGACAAATTGAACTGTAAAGAAATCTTAGTAAATTTCATTCATTAGCTTGTTAGTTGTAATATTGGCAATTATATGAACATTTTTATATGTATTGAAGCGAAAGCAAAAAATGATTATGTTATTGTTGCTAGGGAGAAAATTTTCAAGACTTAAGTGCAGGTATTTAAAAAGTTAAGTAAAAAATTATTTAATGTTTAATTTGAATTTAAAATACCAGTCTAAATCCCTGACAGTTTTTCTGTTAAAAAAAAAAAAAAAATACATATTCCCTAGCTCTGTCGACTGAAATGCCTAGAAGCAATAAAAATCCAATGCAATGAGCATCCCTAGGGCCTGTCTCTGGCCTCCCAAAACTGTTTTCCACTAAATTGAAGAAAGGCTCCCTGGAGGAGACGCTGATTTCAGAACTGGTGTAGGAAAAGTACAAGATAAACCTGAAAAATCTAGGTGTGTCAGAAAGCAAATTAACTATCAGAAACTAATGAAGTTCTGTCAAATAGACAAGAGAGCTAAATTGGAGGGGCTCTCAGTGGCCAAAGATGATTGATTTGAGCACCAAAATATATAACCACAATTGAGTGAAACACTGAATATCATGATACACCCCCCAAAAAGATTAATTACAATTAAAGAGAATTAATTGAACATTTATTCTACTTTGCCTGTTCTCTGTATTTCAGGAAAACAAACTGACTTCTAAGTAATGAAAGTTGCTTTTCACAGAATAATACCAGATAAAAGTAAAAAGACATTTTAAAAATAATTGTGTAACCTTGACAGAAATAACTTAGGAACTGATCATCATTAGATGAAACCATTAGGTGAAAGGTTAATGGGGAATTTTGCAGTGGGGGAATTAGACTGTCACCACTTGAAAACATTGATCAATCTTAGCATCAGTACAGTAAAACAGGACAGCTAAGTATTGTGTGCCTCCTGGTGTAATGCAGTATGCAGAGCAGCACCTCCTAGGAAGTATTCTTGCCAAAAATGTTGAACCTTAAGATAATTAAGCCCTAAGAACTAACTTCCCATTTACAGAAAATATGTGGGCTATTGGGATAAGTAAAATAACATCACAAGAAAGCAAACAGACAAATCTAGAATATGAGACATTCAATAGGACAATTGACCTGGTTTCACACAAAAGGCATTTGGGAAAGGGAGTAGGGGATTGCTGTCCTAGATTAAAAGAAATTTAAGAGACATAACAACCAACTGGAATGTGTAGAATTGTTTGGATCCTGATTGAGTTATCTGTAGATAGACATTTTTGAGACTACTGAATGTGGACTAAATGATATCAAGAAATCCATAATAATTTTATTAGTTGTAATCATGGCGTTGTGGTTATAGAAAAAAATGACTTAGGCTGGTGGCTCACACCTGTAATCCCAGCACTTTGAGAGGTCAAGGCGGGTGGATCACCTGAGGTCAGGAGTTTGAGACCAGCCTGGCCAACATGGTGAAACTCCTCCTCTACTGAAAATACAAAAAAATTAGCCAGTTGTGGTGGCTGGCGCCTGTAATCCCAGCTACTCGGGAGGCTGAGGCAGGAGAATCGCTTGAACCTGGGAGGCGGAGGTTGCAGTGAGCTGAGATTGCATTACTGCATTCCAGCCTGGTGACAGAGCGACACTGTCTCAAAAAAAAAAAAAAAAAAAAAAGAAAAAAAAAAAAAAGATTTTACAGTCAAACACGGTGGCTCACGCCTGTAATTCCAGCACTTTGGGAGGCCGAGGCAAGAGGATTGCCTGAACCCAGGAGTGTGAGAGCAACCTGGGCAACATGACGAAATCCGTCTCTACAAAAAAAAAAAAAATAGAAAAAATAGCCCGGTGTGGTGACTTGCAAATGTAGTCCCAGCTACTCAGGAGGCTGAGGTAGGAGGACCACCTGAGCCCAGGGTGGTCGAGGCTTCAGTTAGCCATGTTTGAGCCACTGCAGTCCAGCCTGGGTGACAAAGTGACACCCTGTCTCCAAAAAAAAAAAAAAAAAAAGAAAAAATGACATTATAGTTAAGGATGTACACTGCCATATATAGGGATGAAACGACATGATGTCTAGGATTTATTTACTTTAAAATATTTCAGTAATAAAAAAGGAGATAAAGCAAGTGTGGAAAAATCTTGATAATGTTAAATCTGGATAATGGGTCTATAAGGATTCTGTGTACTATTCTCTTCAGTTTTGTGTCAGAGTACAAATTTTCAGTATTTAAGAAATTTAAATTTTAAAAGTTTTGGGGGTTTCTAAAGGAGAGAGCAGAAGGAATGATTTGGAATTGGCAATGAGAAGTAAGAGCACAACAGCCAAGTTCTGACTCCGAGGTGCCCGTTGTGGTGAGAGAGGAAACAACTTCCACTTGAGAAGTAGAGTTCTTGCTATCAGAATATAAAAAGCTTTGCTCCTAGCCTTCCAAATCTTTCATGCTCAAACTTCTATGCCTGCTCCCTTTCCCTCACTGAAATGGCAATTCTCAACTTGAGTGGCAGCAACTGTGAGGTTTGATTAGTTAGGACATATACTAGTAATTTCTCACTATTTCAGTTGGTTACAAATGATGGTCATTTTAAAATAAAACAAAATGTATTCCACATTAGTCCACAATAGTATAATTCTCATTCAGTTGCATTCAGAAATGCTTTCTTGAGAAGGAGTTAGAGAAGTGGAAATATAATATAGCTAGCACACTGGGAATTGCACATTTCATGCAAATATGCATGTAGTGCTTGTAAACACAATCCAGCAGTGCCGTAGACATCATCAATCACCTGATTCTTCAATTTTCATCCGGTCATAATGTCCTGTCACACTACCCCTTACACATTATACTTCATGGGTAAACAGGCAAACTATAGTAAAATGAGCACCCTCATCTTTGTGCTACTGGCATACCTTGTTTTATTGCATTTCACTTTCTTCTGCTTCACATATATGGCATTTTTTACAAATTGAAGGTTTGTGGCAACCATAAGTTGAGCATGTCTATCAGCACCATTTTTCCAACAGCATGTGTTCACTTTGTATCTCTGTGGTTTGTAACTCTCACATTATTTCAGGCTTTTTCATTATTAATGTCTCTGTCATGGGGATCTGTGATCATTGATCTTTGATATTACTATTGTAATTGTTTTGGGGTGCTATGAACAGTACCCATATAAGATGGCAAACTTAATTGATGAATGTTGTGTGTGTTCTGACTGCCACTCACTGGCCATTCCCCAGTCTCTCTCCCTCTCCTTGGGTCTCCTTATTCCTGAGACACAACAATATTGTAATTAGGCCAATTGATAATCCTACAATGGCCTCTAAGTGTTCAAGTGAAAGAGTTATACATCTCTCACTTTAAGCCAAAAGCTAGAAATGATTAAACTTAGTGAGGAAGGTGTGTTGAAAGCAGAGACAGGCTGAAAGCTTGGCCTTTTGCACCAGTTAGCCAAGTCATGAATGCAGAGGAAACATTTTTGAAGGAAAAAAATTTGAAGGAAATTAAAAAGGGCCACTTCAGTAAACACATGAATGATAGAAAAATAAAACATCCTTATTGCTGACATGGAGAAAGTTTTAGTGATCTGGATAGAAGATCAAACCAGCCATGACATTCCTTTAAGCCAAAGCCAAACCCAGAGCAAGGCCCTAACTGTTTTCAATTCTATGAAGGCTGAAAGAGGTGAGGAAGCTGCAGAAGAAAAGCTGGAAGCTAGCAGAAGCTAGCAGAAGCTAGCAGAGGTTGGTTCATGAGGTTTGGATATTCTGAAGGAGAGAGGAGAAGAAATGATTTGGAATTAGCAATGAGAAGTAAAAGCACCACAGCCAAGTTAGAGAGAAAAACCCATCTCTATAACATAGAAGTGCAAGGTGAAGCAGCAGGTTTTCCAGAAGATCCAGCTGAGATAATTGATGAAAGTGGCTACACTAAACAACAGACTTTCACTGTGGACAAAAAGGCCTTTTATTGGAAGAAGATGCCCTCTAAGGCTTTAGTAGTTAGAGAAGTCAATGCCTGGCATCAAAGCTTTAAAGGACAGGCTGACCCTCTTATTAGGGGCTAATGGGCTAGTGCAGCTGGTGACATTAAGTTGAAGCCAGTGCTCATATTTACCCTTCCAAAAATCCTAGGGCCTTCAAGAATTATGCCAAATCTGCTTTGCCTGTACTCTGTAAGTGGAATGACAGCCTGAATGAGAGCACATCTATCTACAGCATGGTTTACTGAATATTTTAAGCCCACTGTTGAGAACCACTGCTCAGAAAAAAGGATTCTTTTCCAAATGTTACTGCTCATTGACAATGCAGTTAGTTACTCAAGAGCTATAATTAAGATTTACAAGGAGATTTAAGTTTTTATGCCTGCTAAGACAACATCCACTCTGCAGTCCATGAATCAAGGAGTTCTTCAGCTTTGAAATCTTATTGTTTTGGAAATACATTAAGGCAAAGCTGCCATACATAGTGATTCCTCTCATCAATCTAAGCAAAATAAATTGAAAACCTTCTGGAAAGGATTCACCATTCTAGATGCCATTAAGAACATTTGTTTGGAAGTTTGGAAGAGGATTCCATCCTTTATGGATGACTTAGAAGGATTCAAGACTTTAGTGGAGGAAATAACTGCAGATGTGATAGAAGTAAGAAGGGAGCTAGGATTAAAGTTGGAGCTAGATGTGACTGAATTACTGCAATCTCATGATAACACTTGACTGGATGAGGAGTTTCTTCTTATGGATGAGCCAAGAAAAATGGATGGTTTCTTGTAATGGAATCTATTCTTGGTGAAGATGCTGTGAACATTGTTTGAATGACAACAAAGGATTTAGAATATTACATAAACTTAGTTGATAAAGCAGCAGCAGGGTTGGAGAGAATTGACTCCAATTTTGAAAGAAGTTCTCCCATAGGCAAAATGGTATCAAACAACATCATGTGCTATAGAGAAATCTTTCATGAAAGGAAGTGTCCATTGATGCTGCAAACTTTATTGTCATATTTTAAGAAATGCCACAGTTACCCCAACCTTCAGCAACCACTACCTTAATGAGTCAGTAGTCATCAACGTTGAGGCAAGACCCTCCACCAGCAAAAGGATTATGACTCACTGAAGGCTCAGATGATTGTTAGCATTTTTAGCAATAAAATATTTTTAACTTAAGGTATGCACATTTCAAAGACATAATGCTGTTGCACACTCAGTAGACTACAGTATAGTGTAAACATTTATATGCACTAGGATACCAGAACATTCACATGACTCACTTTATTATGATATTCACTTTATTGTGGTGGTCTGGAATCAAATCTGCAGTATCTCCGAGGTATGCCTTTACATTTGTCATTCTACTATATCTACTCAGGAAAACACTAACCCATTCCCTGCTATCACTGCTTCAGTTGTCTGCTATAGAAAATCCAGTAAATGTATATTGGTGCTGGAGTACCATAAAGTCATGATCTTTGGGGAGATCTGATAGACTTGGACTCATCTATTCTAATCCCCCTTTCAATGTGCTTTTCTGTGTTGCAGAAATGTAAAAGCTGAAACAAAAGAAGCACAGAAACAAACTATATTTGCCAGACTCCTCTGCAGCCATATTTGGAAGGTGCAAATGAGGCAAGGATCCTTGGTTTCCTCCTTTTGCCACTATAGCTTCCAAGTATATTCTTGTGGAGACATCGGGTTTTTCTGCAACAGCATGTCGATGTCCATTCACTAACTTTATAGGATGTGGTAGCCAGCCCCTTAAGACAGGCTTTCTAATGATTCTTGTCTCCTAGTATTCATGTCCTTGTCTCATCCTCTCCCAGCACGAATAAGGTCTGACTCATGTGACCAAAAGAATCTTACATAAGTGATGGTATATCATCTCTGAGGCTAGGCCATAAAAGACATTGGTGCTTCTTCCTTGGTCTCATGGACCATTTGCTCCAGGTGAAGACAGCCACCGTGAAGTGTAGACACTCACACAGCTCTGTGGATGGGCCCACATGGAGGAGGAACTGAAACCTCCCTCCATGACCAACGAGTTAGCCATATGAATGAGCCACTTGGAAGCGAATTCTTTAGCACCATTCAAGCTTTCCAGAGGACTGCAGTCCAAGCCAAAATCTGACTAAACCCCATGAGGATTTCAGAGCTAGAACTATCTATCTAGCTAAGCCACTTAAAAATTTCTGACCAACAGAAAATGTGAGCAACAATAAATGTTTATTGTTTTAAACCACAGTAATAAACAAGTGCTTATTCTTGGATGTTTGTCCTTTTTTAAGTTTTGGGTAACTTGTTAGGTAGCAATAGATAGTCAGTAGTTGGGGTTGAGTTGCACGTGGTGGCTCACACCTGTAATCCTAACATTTGGGAGGCCAAGGCGGGTGGATTACCTGAGGTCAGGAGTTCAAGACCAGCCTGACCAATATGGTGAAACCCCGTTTCAATTAAAAATACAAAAATTAGCTGGGCATGGTGGCGGGCATTTGTAATCCCAGCTACTTGGGAGACTGAGGCAGAATTGCTTGAACCCGGGAGGTGGAGGTTGCAGTGAGCCGAGATGAAGCCATTGCACTCAAGCCTGGGTGACAGAGTGAGACTCCGTCTCAAAAAAAAAGAAAGAAAGAAAGAAAGAAAGGAATAGTTGGGGTTGATAATTTGGGGAGCAGCAGTTTTCCTTATCCCTAAATCACAGCTGAAGCAGAGTTTTTTGAAGTCAACATTCCAGCTGTCTATTTTACCACTTTTCCAACTGGGGCAGAGATAGTAGCTACCAAGTGGGCCTATTTGGCAATATTGTGCTGAGAGGCATTCTTGATAATCCAGTCTAATGCCCACTCCTCCCTCCAGTCTTTCCAATGACTTTTAAAGCACTACATTCTCTGAATTAAATTTCATTCCTCCTAAAATAGCTAAGTTGGTTTCTGTTTCCTGTAGTTGAGCACTGAATGATACAACAGGCTCAGCTAGATTCTTGGCGTATTTGGTTAGCCTCTCTTCATCTCCTTTAACAGTTTTACTGAATGGCTGCCATGACAAAGCAGTACCCAAAATCAGGTGGTTTAAAATAACAGAAATTTATTGTCTCATGGTTCTGGGGGCTAGAAGTCCAAAACCAAGGTGCTGGCAAGGCCTTGCTTTCTCCAGTGGCTTTGGGGGAGAATTTTTCCTTGCCTCTTCCAGTTTCTGATGTTTGCTGGCAATTCTTGGCATTCCTTGGCTTGTAGACACATCATTCCAGTCACATGGTTGTTACAGTTTGGCTGTGTTTCCACCCAGGTGTCATTTTAAAGTGTAGCTTCATAATCCCCACATGTTGTGAAAGGGACTTGGTGGGAGGTGATTGAATCATGGGGGAGGGTTTTTCCCTTGCTGTTCTCATGATAGTGCATAAGTCTCACGAGATCTGATGGTTTTTTAAAGGGCAGTTTCCCTGCATATGCCCTTTTGGCTGCACTATGTAAGATATGCTTTTGCTCCTCCTTGGCCTTCCTGTGAGGCCTCCCTAGCCATGTGGAGCTGTGAGTCCATTAAATCTCTTTTTCTTTATAAATTACCTAGTCTCAGGCAGTTCTTTATAGCAGTGTGAGAATGGACTAATACAGTAAATTGGTCCTGGGTAGTGGAGCGCTGCTGTAAAGATACTTTAAAATGTGGAAGCAACTTTGGAACTGGGTAACAGGCAGAGATTGGAATAGTTTGGAGGGCTCAGAAGAAGACAGAAACATGTGGGAAAGTTTAGAACTTCCTAGAGACTTGTTGAATGGCTTTGATCGAAATGCTGATGTGATAACACTAAGAAGTCCAAACTGAGGTGGTCTCAGATGGAGATGACGAATTTGTTGGGGACTGGAGCAAAGGTGACTCTTCTTATGCTTTGGCAAAGAGACTGGTGGCATTTTGCCCCTGCCCTAGAGGTTTGTGGAACTTTGAACTTGAGAGAGATGATTTAGGGTATCTGGCAGAAGAAATTTCTAAGTAGCAATGAATTCAAAAGGAAGCAGAACATAAAAGTTTGGAAAATTTGCAGCCCGATGATGCAGTAGGAAAGAAAAAACCCATTTTCTTGGGAGAAATTCAATCTGGCTGCAGAAATTTGCATAAGTAACCAGGAGCAACAGGTTAATCACCAAGACAATGGAGAGAATGTCTCCAGGGCATGTTAGAGATCTTCGAAGCAGCCCCTCCCATGACAGGCCCAGAGGCCTAGGAATAGAAAATGGTTTCATATGCTGGGCCTAGGGCCCCATGCTGTGTGCAGCCTAGGTTCTTGGTGCCCTGCATCCCAGCTGCTCCAGCTGTGGCTAAAAGAGGCCAAGGTACAGGCTCAGGCTATGGCTTCAGAGGGTGCAAGCCCTAAGCCTTGGCGGCTTCCATGTGATATTGAGCCTCTGGGTGCATAGAAGTCAAGAATTGAGGTTTGGCAACCTCCCCCTAGATTTTAGAGGATGTATGGAAACACTTGGCTGTCCAGGCATAAGTTTGCTGCAGGAGCAGGGCTTCCATGGAGAACCTCTGCTAGGGCAGTGCGGAAGGGAAGTGTGGGGTCAGAGTTCCCACACAGAGTCTGCACTGGGGCACTGCCTAGTGGAGCTGTGAGAAGAGGGCCACCGTCCTCCAGACCCCAGAATGGTAGCTCTATCAACAGCTTGCACTGTGCACTGGAAAAGCTGCAGTCAGTGCTGATGCATGAAAGCTGCCAGGAGGGGGCCTGGACCCTGCAAAGCCACAGGGATGAAGCTGCTCAAGGCCATGGTAACACACCTCTTCCATCAGTGTGACCTGGGTGTGAGACATGGAGTCAAAGGAGATCATTATGGAGATTTAAGATTTGACTGCCCTGCTGGATTATGGACTTGCATGCGCCCTTTGTTTTGGCCAAGTTCTGTCATTTGGAATGGGTGTATTTACCCAATGCCTGTACCTGCATTGTATCTAGGAAGTAACTAACTTGCTTTTGATTTTTCAGGCTTGTAGGCAGAAAGGACTTGCCTTGCCTCGCCTCTGATGAGACTTTGGATTGTGGACTTTTGAGTTAATGGTGAATGGGAGATTGTTGGGATGGCATGATTGGTTTTGAAATGTGAGGACATGAGATTTGGGAGGGGCCAGGAGCAGAATTATGTTGTTTGGCTGAGTCCCCACCCAAATGTCATCTTGAAATGTAGCTCTCATAATCCCCACATGTTGTGGAAGGGACCCAGTGGGAAGTAATTGAATCATGGGGGCAGGTTTTTTCTATGCTGTTCTCACTGTAGTGAATAAGTCTCACAAGATCTGATGGTTTTGTAAAGGGCAGTTCCCCTACATATGCTCTCTTGCCTACCGCCGTGTAACACATGTCTTTACTTCTCCTTTGCCTTCCACCGTGATTGTGAGGCCTCCTTAGCCATGTGGAACTGTGAGTCCATTAAACCTCTTTTTCTTTATAAATTACCCAGTTTTGGGCAGTTCTTTGCAGCAGTGTGAGAATGGATTAATACACATGCTTATCCTCTACCTATGTGTCTTTCCATTGTCTTCCCTTTGTGTTTGTCTCTATGTACAAATGTTTTATTTTTATAAGGGCAAAAATCATGCTGAATTAGAACCTACCCTAATAAGCTAATTTTAGCTTTATTATCTCTGTAAAAATCCTATTGCCAAATAAGGTCACGTTCTAAGGTACTAGGGATTAGGACTTCGACATGTCATTTTTGAGGGACACAATCTAATCTATATCAATTCCTATCCTCCTCTTCACTCTTAGCTGACAACCTCTTCTTCTAATCTATCTAGATGTTGATGCTATATTGTATTCTGGTGCTCCAGCGGAAAAATTTATGTATGCATGTCTCAGGGGATGAGTTGACATTCTTTTCCTATGTTTGGAAAATCTATGGTTAAAGAACTTGAGAGGCCTGGTGCGGTGGCTCACGCCTGTAATCCAGCACTTTGGGAGGCTGAGGCAGGTGGATCACGAGGTCAGGAGGTCGAGACCATCCTGGCTAACACGGGGAAACCCCGTCTCTACTAAATATACAAAAAATTAGCTGGGTGTGGTGGCGGGCACTTCTAGTCCCAGCCACTCAGTAGGCAGAGGCAGGAGAATGGCGTGAACCCGGGAGGCAGAGTTTGCAGTTAGCAGAGATCGCACCACTGTACTCCAGCCTGGGTGACAGAGCGAGACTCCATCTCAAAAAACAAACAAACAAACAAAAAACCTTGGGATCTTATTGTGGGGGGATTAAAATGTTAAGAGGAAATAAAGAATGCGAAACAAAGTATCAATGGCCCTACATGTCTTAAATTAATTTTCATTTTGTATGACATGCTTGCTAGAAACTTTCAGGATTTTTCTTCTTTCAAGTTCCAATGAAATGCTTGTGTATTTACAAACATGTAATTAGGCCGGGCATGGTGGCTCACACCTGTAATCCCAGCACTTTGGGAGGCTGAGATGGGCAGATCATGAGGTCAGGAGTTCAAGACCAGCCTGGCCAACATGGTGAAACCCTGTCTCTACTAAAAAGTACAAAAATTAGCCAGGCATGGTGGCAAGCACCTGTAATCCCAGCCACTTGGAAGGCTGAGGCAGAAGAATCACTTGAACCCAGGGGGCAGAGGTTGCAGTGAGCTGAGATCATGCCACTGCACTCTAGCCTGGGCAACAGAGTGAGACTCTGTCTCAAAACAAACAAAAAACATTTAATTAATTCAGTTATAAATAGTGTGTATACGAACACATGTCCTATGATGTCTCTTCTTACCCACTCTGCTCCAACCTTTTTGTCTTTATTTCTTAACACACTATTGAGGTTTCAGCTGAAATTTTATTTCCTCAGAGAATTGTCCATTGGCTATCCAATCTAAAATAATTATAGATTTATTTTCAATTGGGTGACCCTTTAAAAAAATCTCTGTATAGCATTTTTATAAAACTTTCCTATTTATTTGCTGTCTTTTCTCATTACAAAGTCGGCTCCATGAGAACTTTATTGACCTTGCCCATCATTATACCCACAATGCTTATAACAGGATCTAGCTCAAAGTAGACCGTGTGTGTGTGTGTGTGTGTGTGTGTGTGTGTGTAGAATGACTGAATACATTATTTTCTTGCTTTGGTCTTGCAATTCTAGACAGATGCAGAATAATGTAGGTACGTGAGATGGGTCAAGTTTTGCAAAACCTTTATTTAGCTATGAGAAGCTGAACAGATGTTTTTCAAACTGCCTCCCCAATATACAAAACCCAATACACAGAGTTATAAAGTTTAGGCTTCTCTCACAATTATCTTAAGCTAGTGAACCTTACACAGTTTTTACATGGCTTTATACCTCCTTCCCTCCAAAGACTTGGAGTATAGTTGAATCCTGACACATGCTGCAAGTCATTTAATAAAACAGCCATTCATGTTGTTAAAATCTTCATGTAAAATATAAATAGGAGCATGTTTCTTAATCTAATAAAAATACTAATCTCAAGTCAATAGCTAGATAGTAAAGGCATTCCTGTTAAAGTCAGGAATAAGACAAGGAAGTTTGCTATAAACACTATTATTAGACATGAATCTGAAAGTGCTATTATATTATCAGTCAAGATAATAATAAATATTGCAAAGAAGGAAGCAAAATAGTTATATATAAGGTTATGTAATTATTAAAAATTGATAAGCTGAAAATTAAAACAAGAAAGTTTGGTGCACTAGTCAGTTAAAAATTTAACAAAAAAGATAAATAGCTCTCCTACGTAGTAACAATAACCATTTAGAAATAGAACGGAAGAAATAATCTATTTTATGCAAAGTTTGCATAAAAACTAGGTAAAGTTTGCATAAAAACTAGATAAAAGAAATGAATACATTTAATGCAATTTCCATAAAAATTCGAGCTTTTTTGAACTTGGAAAGTCTTCTAAAGTTATGTGGAGAAATAAATACTTAAGTATAGCTAGAAAATTCTGAGAAAATAAAAGTGACAAAGAGGGACTTGCCATATGAGATATGAAAATGTAATATAAACTCCAATAAAAAGTGGAGTGATTTTGCTTCTGGAATTGCAGAACTGATCAATAAAACAGATAAAGACCAGAAATAGATCCAAGTGTATGTAAGAATTTAATATATGGCACACATGTTGGGAAGTCAGTGGGACAAGTATGGATTATTCAATGAATTGATAAGTGGATTTTTTCTTTTTTTCCTTCTAAGACATAGTCTTACTCTGTCGCCCAGGCTGGATGGAGTGCAGTGACACGATCTTGGCTTACTGCAACCTCCGCCTCCAAGGTTCAAGTGCTTCTCGGGCCTCAGCCTCCCAAGTAACTGGGATTACATGCATGTGCCACCACACCTGGCTAAATTTTTTTCTGATTTTTTGTATTTTTAATAGAGATCAGGTTTCACCATGTTGGCCAGGCTGGTCTCGAACTCCTGGCCTTAAGTGTTCCACCTGCCTCGGCCTCCCAAAGTGCTGGGATTACAGGTGTGAGCTGCTGAGCCTGGTCTTTGATAAATTGACTATTTAAAAATTACAGCCTAAGAAAGAACTTTACAACACCCCTAGTAAATCGTAAATTTTTTTTAAAAAAGTTGGAAAATATAAGAGGCAAAGGGATGTTTTCCTTATAATGTAAAGAGTTCACATAAATCAAGAAGAAAAAAGACAAACATCTTCCCTGAAGAACATTTTCCCCTACTTCAAAGATAAATAAATGGGTTAGGGAAGTGAAAATCCTATTCACATTAGAAGTCAGTTGGTCATGTGACAAACATTCAACCTTCCAATAATCAAGGAAAAGCAAATTTGGGAGGTTGCGGTGGCTCACGCCCACAATCCCAGCACTTTGGGGGGCTGAGGCAGGTGGATCACCTGAGGCAGGCAGATCACCTGAGGCCAGGAGTTCAAGACCAGCCTTGCCAACATGGTGAAACCCCATCTCTACTAAAAGTACAAAAAATTAGCCAGGCAAGGTGGTGGGTGGGGGTTGGTGGGGGGAGGGGGGTTGGTGTCTATGTTGCCAAGGCTGGTCTCGAACTCCTGGGCTCAGGCAATCCTTCTGCCTCGGCCTCCCAAAGTGCTGGGATTACAGGCGTCAGCCACCACACCTGGCCAAATCATGTGTATTTAAAACAAAATTTTGTAGTTTAAAAAATATAATAAATCAATAATATTGAATTTTGCCTAAGGGTAAAATGCAGTTGAATGGGATTACCAGCCATACAAAACACCTGTACTCAAGGGAGGCCACTGTTTACATATATCACCTTGAACTGTGTGCTGTTGTTCTTTAGCAAAATCTTTCCTAATGGAATGTTAAGCAGGACAAGGAGTCCTTTTATTTATTCTTCTAGATACCACAGGTCATACTTTTTTCACACCTTGAAATAATTGTTTTCATTCAGTTGAGCTTTAGTGTTATGCTTTCAGTCAAAACTGTAGACTTTGTTCACTCACTCAATAAATATTTGTTGAAGCCTGTGCAGTGTACCAAGCACGTTTCTCAATATTTAGGACCTGTCAGTGTTCAACTTTCCTGGAACTTGCTTTCTGTCTCTCTTAAGAAATACTGTATAGAAGCAGCTATCCTAGAGGATATCTGCTACATTATTCAGTATCCTATAGAGAAGTTTCTTTAAGATTTAAGAACTAGAAAAGTGGTTAAAGAATTCATATATACTTTACTTATGAACAAAGGAAAATTCATTTCTCTTTTTTTGTTTGGGCTGTCAGGAAACAATTTTAGCCCAACTCAAACAACTGAGTAAGATATTGCATCCATCCAATTCCAATATTAACCGTTTCCCCTTTCAGAACTCCTTCTCTTCCAAGTTCATCTTTTTTTTGGCCTTGCTTTTTAAAAATTCAAAATGTTTTGTTTTACTATATTCTAATGTACTTGTAAACTGCTTCAAATCTCAGATCTCTTGCGGGATATGAACCTAAATATCTGTATTTGTAAACTGCTTCAAATCTCAAATCCCTTGTGGGATGTGAACCTAAATAACAAACAGAAAAGGTCTCTAAAATAAAAGATGTGCATTGAAAATAGAGCATAATGGGAAAACGCATGCCATAGTAAACTATGTGTGTATGCAGGAAGACGAAGGAAGACAAAGGGTTTTAAAGGGAAAAAAATGAGGATGGTTACACATTGTTTTGAAATAATTATCTTGACTACAAAGGTCAATAACAAGGGTGACGTCAGTTGAAGGTTGGACAGGCAGCTTCTGGGCAGACATCCTTGCAGAGGTTTTGTATAAGGTCGTGATGGTTTTTGTGCAACGTTGTGGTTTTGCAGTCTTTGTTTTCAGGCATACAAGTATGAGTACCCTCTCTTCATAGCCTTTCCTGGCTCTATTTGTCAGAGTTTTTGTTCGTTACCCACATGCAGTAAGTCAGTACTGATTGGATCTTGGCTCAAGCGAAAATACCTACTTGTAAAAAATGGCATGAACAACCGAAGACAATTTTTGTAAGGAACGTTGTATTCTACATTCCTTTTGCTTTTTTTTTTTTTAATTGACAAATAACAACTGTCACATTCATGGGGTACATAGTGATGTTTCCATATTAGTATATCCATTATCCAACTGAGGACATCTAGTATGGCCCAGGTATTAAATAGTATTAGTAAACGATTGTTAATTTTCTGAAGACTTGGTAATAGTATTATGATTATGAAAAAAAGTCCTTAGTTTTAGAGATGCACACTGAAGTACGCAGGGGTGTGGTGTGTTATCTGCAACTTTAGGATGATTCAGCAAAAAAAAATTTACAAGCATTTATGTAAAGAAAAAGCAAATATGGCAAAATATTGTGTTGAACTGTTGAGTCTGGGTATTGGGCGGTATTATTGAATTAGGGTGGATAAATCTAGACTCTGTTGTTATTTTTGCTGCAGTTATTATGACGTCACTAGAAAGCTGGAATTATTCCCACTCCAAAGCACCCTGAAACCTCGCGATATTACGGCCTGGTGGCGCGCGAAACGCGGTGGGCGGGGCTGGAGCGAAAACCACTGACTTCCGGCCAGGCCGTTGTCTGGGTGGCGCGGTCGAGTCATCGCTGGGCCTCACCGCTTCGTTCTCCCAACCCTCCCCGCGCCCTGGCGCGGGGGGTCGACTAGCCAACTGAGGCGGGAGGCTACTCGGACCTTTCCCTGCGTTTCGTTTCGGCCAGTGCCGGGGGCTACCCGCCCTGGGGCCTGGGATCCTTGGGGCCCGTGAGGCCCACTCTTAGCGGCCAGGGCCTACCGCGGCCCGCCGCCGGCCCTCATGAGGCATAGCCTGACCAAGCTGCTGGCAGCCTCGGGCAGCAACTCCCCAACCCGCAGTGAGAGCCCAGCCCCGGCTGCAACCTGCTCGCTGCCCTCGGACCTCACCCGGGCGGCAGCGGGGGAGGAGGAAACAGCGGCGGCCGGATCTCCCGGCCGCAAGCAGCAGCTCGGCGACGAAGGGGAGTTGGAAGCCGGGAGGGGGAGCCGCGGCAGGGTGGCCGTGCGCGCGCCCTCGCCCGAGGAGATGGAGGAGGAAGCGATCGCCAGCCTCCCCGGAGAAGAGACGGAGGATATGGACTTTCTGTCTGGGCTGGAACTGGCGGATCTCCTGGACCCCCGGCAACCGGACTGGCACCTGGACCCCGGGCTTAGCTCGCCGGGGCCTCTCTCCTCGTCTGGCGGAGGCTCGGATAGCGGCGGCCTGTGGAGAGGGGAGGATGACGATGAGGCCGCGGCTGCTGAAATGCAGCGCTTCTCTGACCTGCTGCAAAGGCTGTTAAACGGTATCGGAGGCTGCAGCAGCAGCAGTGACAGTGGCAGCGCCGAAAAGAGGCGGAAAAAGTCTCCAGGAGGAGGCGGCGGTGGCGGCAGCGGTAACGACAACAACCAGGCGGCGACAAAGAGTCCCCGGAAGGCGGCGGCGGCCGCTGCCCGCCTTAATCGGCTGAAGAAGAAGGAGTACGTGATGGGGCTGGAGAGTCGAGTCCGGGGTCTGGCAGCCGAGAACCAGGAACTGCGGGCCGAGAATCGGGAGCTGGGCAAACGCGTACAGGCACTGCAGGAGGAGAGTCGCTACCTACGGGCAGTCTTAGCCAACGAGACTGGACTGGCTCGCTTGCTGAGCCGGCTGAGCGGCGTGGGACTGCGGCTGACCACCTCGCTCTTCAGAGACTCGCCCGCCGGTGACCACGACTACGCTCTGCCGGTGGGAAAGCAGAAGCAGGACCTGCTAGAAGAGGACGACTCGGCGGGAGGAGTCTGTCTCCATGTGGACAAGGATAAGGTGTCGGTGGAGTTCTGCTCGGCGTGCGCCCGGAAGGCGTCGTCTTCTCTTAAAATGTAGGGTCAAGTAATCTGCTCTTTATCCGCGTTTACCCCTTTCAACTCCCTTACACCATGTCAAACTTACCTTAGTGGGACATCTTCACCGGACACATTTCAGAGGAGAGAAAAAAAGTAATATTGAATCTTAAAGTGTTTAGCTAAAAGCATGAATGTGACACAGTAACCAACTCCTAATGATAACATGTGACTATTAAATCTCTCTGACAGTTTCTTTTTTAGGTGATTTCCTTCCTGCCAGGCTCCGTTGTAGGGGTTACAGAACAGTCGTTCCCGCCTCACAACCTGGTAAGGATCCATCTCTTCCCGTAACGCTCATGCTCTGCTGCTTAGTCTACTTTAATGGGCAACATCTCAGTCTGTGTGTGTGTGATTTTTTTTTTTTTCCTGTTTTGGAAGGTGGGAGGGAAATCTAATTTGGGCCCTGTCCACCCTGGAAACAGACTTGTGCTGGTCAAGAATGTATTTAAGATGCCTCTTCTGGTTGAAATAGCTATTAATGTGTCCCCTTATTCAGACTTGCGTGTACCTAGCTCTTCTGTCCCCAGTGTGGACATGGCCTTGGATGACATCGGTTCCAACTGTACACTGAAACCTGCTTATAGAGATACAGTTTGGAGACAGTGAAACAGGTGAAGTTGAATGGAAGTTCCGAGTTGTACAAGGTGCAAACTGGAATTCCGATTTTAGGGCAACTTTTCAGGTTGACAATAAGTATTTGGGGCATGCACAAATGTGATAGTTATTTTGCTGGAGGTGACAGGTATCTCTGAAATATCAATGCCTTTTAGTTTTCAGTAGGAGATATAGAAACAGTCTATACGGAGTAACAGATTTTAGTATCTCACTATTAGAGAAGTTGGAAATTAACATGGATATCAGACTCCTGTGTTTTAGTTACTTGGAGAATAAGAATGGTTAATATTTCTTTGAGGACCAGCAGTGATTACCCTATCACTGAGTATGAATAAATTGTTGAACATCTTTATTTTTGTTGTATTAAAATTTTAGGTTAAATTTATATATGTATGATTAGATATTGAAGGTTGTGAAATGTGAATGAAAACGTGTAAAGTGAGGCTTCACAAAGAATCTTATTCTCTGTATTTCAAAAGTATTTGTCCTATTTTAGAATAATTTTTTAAATTGAGTGCTTCTGGCCACTTAAATAACACAATTGGCACTATTTTCCCAAAGGTGGGATTGATTCTTCCCTTGAATCTATTAACCAGTTGTATAAATTGAGTTATGATGTCCTTCAGTGTAAGAGGCATTAAGAAATTCTTTGTGAAACATCACTGCTTGATAAAGTATATACGTATTTAGCATCCTTGTTTTTCTTTGTGCTAAAGTGGATACAGCTGTTGGGGCAGAAGAGACGGGACCAGCTGCTGGCCACATTTCCTGCTTTATTTTAAAAGGTAGTATAAGAAATGAGGAAAAAGAGGTAATATCAGGGCTTCTGCTGTTTTTTATTTTTAAAATGTTCATAATTAAAAAGTATTTTCCAGCAGTCCAAAGATGTAAGTTATCTTACACATAAAATGTTTTATTTTGTTGTTATTTGGTTATGAAAATGGAATCCTTGTTCTTGCACAACTGTAAATGTTTTGTTGCTAGATAATACGATTTGAGACCTGAATTGGTCTTTGGTTTCCAGTGCATCACAGCATATTTTGTAAAATCATCTACTACTGCACTTGAGCATGATGGGTAGTAGCCAAACTCACAACTTGGAGTGATGAACCTGCTTATACCTAAGGGCAGGAGCAAGCCCCTCACAATGCAGCTGCATGGGTTTTTAGTGCCTACTGAATTTTATATATATATATACATATATATAAACCAAAAGTAGTTGGAAAGATTATTTGAAATGACTAATTTGTGCTATCTTTATGAAATATGTTAAATGTAGCTTTTTTGAAACAGAAGCCTTGAATTGAAATTTAACTAATACTTGAACATTTTTGTATATATTTCTTTGTATATAATTTTGTGCAGTACCAATGACAAAAATATGGTGTCATAATAAAACCAGGTTTGTTGATCTTTTAGTTATGGGCTCAAAGAATTTATTCATCTCTAACATGACATTGGAAAATAATGGATGAAAATAGGAAAAATGATTGTTGTTAATGCTGACTGTGGGTCTTAAAAGGTTCTGGAAAGCAGTAAGTTCATTTTTCTAAAAACTATAACATTCTCTTGGAATATTTTCTTCCTTACGTCAATACTTTTCCTGCATTATTTGAAGTTGTGGGCTGGGGAGAAAACAGCAGTCAAAGCTTTCTGAATTGAGATGCTTTGAAATTCCAAGTGTAGATTTTTAGAATGTCATTTTATAAATGGCAGTTTTTGGAATTACTTGATAAAGAACTTTTGAAAATGGAAAGATTAGTATGGCCTATTTTTAAAGCTGCTTTGTTAGGTTCCTTATGTTTTATTAACTGTCTTTCCTCAGTTTCCATTTCATTTTTTTTTCTAGTTTTGGTGACTTAGTGATTTTGTCATTTTTTACATCAACTTCATGGTCTTGTTTTTACATGGTAATTGCATGTATTTAGGATCTATCTAATAGGGGCTTTAAATAAATTTGGTCATATTTATGTGTAAGCACATTTTACTGTAAATGTTTGGGTTTCTGAATTTAAACAGATCTGTTTATTTCAGTATGTAGTAAACACTATCTTAAAGTGTCCGACTCACTACTTGTTAATTAAAAAAGTTATGATTAATGTGAAACTGTTGTCTTACTATTTTTAGAAAATTGTGTTCTGGATGATTAGCACATGGATAAAGGAGATTTCTGGCATATAAAATGGATTGTTTTTGAAATTTCTAGGTTTGGCTCTATTTACTATAATGGTTGAAAACAATTTAGTATTTGGGTGACCCTTTTGTTTTTCTCCTAAATGTGCCTCTATGGTAAAATACAGAACTAGACTAAAGACGTAGCTTTTTAATATTTGTCTTCGATGGTGGCAGGAGTTCATACATTAATTGAACTAACACATCATATTTTGACCTACTATTTCTATCATATTGACTTACTGTTTCTGCACTTCCTTGACCAGACTTATCTTAAAAAGTCCACTTTCGTTAAAATGTAGTCACACCTGATATAATCCAACAAAAAGTGTTCAAAATATTTTAAATATTTGTGCATTTTATAATCACTAAATTAATCTCTCTCTCTTCTCTTTAAACAGCTTAGCAGTGTCTGCAAAAACGAATCTTTTCCTACAACCTGTTAACTGACTGGACTGATGGTAACAAAGTAATTGTGAGAGCCATGTCGGTCAAAAATTTGGCATCTGCTGAAAAAAATGAATGCCATTTTCAAGTTCCCAAATTACTTCTATACTGATTTCACTTTCCAGAAATGGAGATATGAAAAGATTCTCTGGAATCCTTGAAAGACTTAATAGAGATACATGAGACTAAGTTAATCTTGGAACAAAATTACACTTTTTTTGTCTTTCATGGGAGTGATACTCAGTTATTGCATATCTTTACAAAATTGTAACCGTTGGAGAATTACAGTATTTCATCAAGAAATTAGAGTTTTTAAATAATCGAGCATATTCTATGGAATTAACATTTAGTGGACTAGAATTACATAAGCAGGCCATCAGTGATCACAAGGCATATGAGTTTGTATTTATTTCCTGGAACATGAGAGGTAATTTGGAGTACAGACAGACACCCTGCTGAGTAGAATATAAAAGTTAATGTAAAGTTCTTAACAATAAAGAGTAGTCCTTTTAAATAGATGCATTGATTTGTATATCTCTGAAAAAGTTGATTATGATTAAATGTGTGGGTAGTTAAAATTTAGGGTAACAACCAGGATGTATGGATTCTGAGGTTTTGGCTTCTTGAGCTTTCTCTTGAGTACTTGATACTGTTTTTTGAATATTTTGAGGTTTCTAATTAATGGTATGCTAGTTTCTACTGTTTCATATAAAAATTTATCTAGTGTTGTATAAGGGCTTTAGTATTCTGGATGATGGGAGTGGCTTTTTGTGGCATATCGTTGTTTTACTTAATTGAAATATTTTTTCAGTTTATTACAAGTGTGAAAAAAACACTCAAAACTCTGGATTGTTTTATTTCATTTTTGTTGGATTATGTTAATACATTCCTTCACCTGGTTTAGATTGAGTCATTTTATCTTACTCATTTGGGAAATGAGCAGCTGATAGAAGAGGGTTTGGGTAGGAGATTGGCTCTTAACTTCATAATAAATATACAGTTGGTTATTGTATTATTCAGAACTTACTAAATCCAGTCAGTTTCTTATAATTTTAAGTGTATTCAGTGCCTGTGAAGCCAGGCAGCCAAGAGTATTCCCACTGGCATAAAACTTAGTGCTGATGCTCTTACAGTACAGCTAGTTATAATTCCAGAACCAAAGGCACCAACATGATTTGGTGACCTTAACTACTACTTTGATAGAACAGACTGGGTAATTTACTAATAATGAGTCATTATCTTTTTAATATGTGATTACCTAGTTCAGCATTCTGAATGTGTAGTTTAAGGTCTCTCTGATTTAGTAAAATTTTAAAGCTAAATAATCTGATGACTCTTGAAAGTTTAATTGGTAGTATGACATTTATAAGTGTTTTTTCCCCCAGACTCACAGCCAATACCAAGTTTTGAGACTCTAGTAAATGTTAATATTTTTGCTGCTTTTCTGAGCTGTTTTTTTAATTTACTTACCATCTAATCTAGGGACCAAAATGGGAATTCTTCCATTAGAAATTTGTAGTGTTATGTTTGGCCAGCACAGTATTTTTCAGATTTGAATTTCAGTACCTTTATGTGTAGCCTCAGTACTCTCAACACCAGTCACTCTTTATTGTCTTAAAATACTCCATACTTTTTGTTGACCCAAAATTGTTGAATATTTTGCTCAGTTTTCACAATGAACTAATTGAAAAGTGTAGTTACTGTGTTGTAAACATTTGTGTAGTTCTGTTAATATACTGATTTGAATTTTATTTATCTCAACTTCCTTTAGCGTCTGCATCCAGATTTTGTCTTTGCTGTATACCCACTGAGATCAATTTCCTAGACCCCTCTGGCTCTTAGTGTACTATGGTTTGGGCTTTATAAAATATATTAATGTCTTAATTTAAATAGAATGTGAGCCCTCTTTTTTTTCTTTAAAGCCAAATAACTACAGAAAGTAAATTATAAAATATTTAAATAGTTTGTCTACTGTGTCTAGACTGAAATATTAAAAATTGACTTAGGGTAGTTTACTTCAGATGTTAGCTACAAATGACTAAATGTCCTTAAATAATGCAGATATCTGCTCTCTGAACAAAAATTTTGGCAAAGTAAATTTGTAGCAACAGACTTAACATGCTTTATTGTTTATGTTGCCCATTTCTGCTAATGGAAAAGATAATTTAAAAATATGTGGCAGAGGACAGATTAGAAATACTTTTTGGTTACAGAAACCATTGTAAACTCATCCCCATTTATACATGGTATTATGCTAGGGAGTAATTGGACTAGGAATGTTTAAAGATAAGTAAGGAAACAACGTGTGCTCAGTTGTCAAAGAACTTAGTTATATCATTGGACTTTGAATTATCTAAGTTGATTACACAATCCTATATTCTTAAGGAGTCTAACTGGGTACTTGGGTTAACATCAGAAATTACTTTTAATTCATTGTTTTTTCACTGTGATGAGTACAACTCTGCTTTTAGTAAAAGTGACAGAATGTAGGTAAAATGGATGATTTGGGGTCAGAGCTTTTCATCTTAAAATAAACAGCTGTATTGTTTTGCCCTTTAAACATTATATATATCTTTCTGTCTTTCTTTCCCTAGTAAAAGTAAAGCATATTATTTATAGAAAACTTGGAATATCCTGAAAGGAATCAAGAAGAAAAGAAAAATCACCCTTATAACTATAAGCCGTAGAATATCCACAGTAAACATTTTGGCATGCTTCCTTTCAGTCTCTTGTGCATACAGATTCTTTTACCTCATAACTGGGATCATTTTCTATATAAGTTTGGTAGATAATACATTTTATGTGCCTGTTGAAAGAACAAATCATCTTTGCTTTCTGAAAAATTGAGATTGTATTTTGTTAATTTCACATAAGCTTTTCATCTTTGGCAGCACTGCTTATATTTTTCTTTAAACAGACGTTAAAGGCCAGTTTCACTCACAAAGATGCCTTTTCTAAATTATTATATATAATTTTAAGCAGCATAAGATTACTTAACACATATGTCACTATTTGGAAGTAATAGTTAAGAAATTCATGAATAATCTTGGATGCCACTTAAAATTTTGTTTGGTACTTTTCTGTGATGATTGGCTTGCTTCATAAGAAAGTGTTGGTTTAGATCTACGCTGTCCAATACTGTAACCATTAGTCACATGGCTAAACATTTTAAATGCATTAAAATTAAAAATTCAGTTACTCAGTTGCACTAGCCACATTTCAGGTGCCCAGCAGCTACATAGGCTAATGGTTAACATATTGACAGTGCAGATATAAAATATTTCCATCCTCACAGAAAGCTCTGTTGGACAATGCTGAATCAGTTGCTGTCACAAAAGAAAATGGTTTAGAGAACTAGGATGAGAAATGTTAGGACAACAGAAGAAAGCACATCAAAAATTTAAATGATCTTAGGAAATCAATCAACTAGGATATTTCACTGAGGGTCAGAGAGATTAGTTGATTTTGTGATTCTAAATATCCTACAATAAATGGAAGTGTGAAAGACTACCTAAACTAAAAATACAGCTTTCCAAATAAGGTGACTCGAAGTAGGTAGATCTATATCATAATAGCTGAAGCTGAGCCTGAATGACTCAAGAAGATGGCTGATTTAAGGAAGGTTGTTAAATCAGTTCTAAGAATCTATGGATTAATAATTTGAATTGAGAAAGTGAATTATAAGTAACATTTGGTATAGTGTATGGGTATATATTTTTTCATTTTTTATTCCCGTTTGGCATTATGAAGTCTTCAGTGTAAAATACTATATAGTAACTTTTTCCTCTTGTGTACTACAGACCAAACACGATACCTAAGGTAAAAGAGTAGAGCAAGCAAGGTAGAAGAGACAATACTGGGCAAACTAGTGAAGTTAAACTTGTTTTAAGTGGGTAGCTTTTACTTAGATTCAGCCTTTTGTTGTAGGTCCCAGAATTATCCTCATGTGATAAATTACAAGTCTATGTTTATGCATAACATTAGACAAACTGTTTTTACCATTTTATTTTTGTTTACATATTTGTTTAAAATCAGTGAATTTCTTGGCCAGGTTCAGGTAACTGAAGGGCCTTTATAAGTAGTTTATATTGTTTAGACCCAAGGTATGCTGAAAACATAGTCTGGAGCATAATAGGAAATAACATCTTTCTAAAGACAGGCTTAGAAGTTCTAATCCAGTAATTTAAGATGTTCCCTTTGTGTGGTAACAGAGCTGATTGATACCTGTAAGAAAACATTGAGATAGTTCAATAGAAAAGATTGTTGCATCAAGTGGCAAACCTATCTATGATATATATTAGTCCTAGAAGTCTTAAGATGAAACTAAAGATTAAGGTAAAGGTCTTCAGTGTCTGTTAATCCTAAAAACTGTTTTGTTTCTTTATCCAGTTTGCTTCAAGGCTATAGCATAGATTGCTGATCCAAGAGTTCAACAGAGAATAGCCAGAATTATTTTAGAATAGAAGGCTAATATAATAGCTACACATTTTCTGATGGAATTTTCCTTTAGTGCAAGTGTTCAAACTCATCCAAGATAATTATTTATATGACAGAAGTTTCATGCATAATACTCTTTGCAGCTTTGTAGTTAGTTTAGTATTCAGTACACAAATTAATGTTAATAGCCTGAACTATATACCAAGTAGAACTGTTTGAAATTCTTGGTAAGTAGAATTTGATTATAAGAAGAAACAGGTCTTGCTAACTTCTAAACAAGAGGGTAACATTGCCTTTAGTCTAAATGACTTAAAAACAAAATATATTTGCTGCTCTAAGTTGTGAGTTTTATAGGTAATCATATATTATAAAAAGTTTTTCATTTCCTACCTGGCTGCTAGGCTACCATTTACAGGTATAGCCAAGAAAAGAGGGTATAGACCACCAACAACAAGACCTATCAGTCCACTCCGTGTTACGGTACAGGTTTCACAAGCCAAATCGCCTAGGAAATAAATTAGTTCTGGACATGAAGGTTATGATAATCAAGCAAATATAAAGAATGTAAGATCCTCTTTTGTGTATCACAGATATTTTTCAGGCAATATATCAAATGTAATTCTACAAAGCATGATAAAAGATATAATTACATCTATGAGAAACTTAAAATAGCTAGGAATGATTGATAAAACTATTTTAGGAAAAAAAATCCTCTAATTTGTTCTGAACATAGATATAATAAGCTCATGGTTTGGGCTGCTGCTAGCTTTCTGCACTTGTTTTTTATCAACAGACCTGGGCTAATATTTTCACTCAGTCTGTTCAATTCAATGGGCAATTCAGTCTGTTCAATTCAAATAGTTCAAACAATTTCTGTGATCTCCCTTGATCATAGAAATTGTTTCCACTGGTCATGGGAATTAAAATACTCGTCCAATTTAAACAAATTTGGAGGAGCACTTAACAGAAAATAAAATTTAGATGGACTGGCTTCCCTAGCACCCATGGTAATATCTTTATTTGAAATCATCAATCAAAAGATTTTTTTATGATTAACTATACTCAAAGCATTCAGCACACATGGTAAATTTTCAAAAGGAAATCAATTCTCCATGTATTTGATAAACGTTATATATGCATTTAGTGCTTTAAGAGATTTACTATATAAAGAGTCATATTCTCATAAAAATATTTTCCCCTTTTAAGGAACTTCTCTATAAAATATAAATAAAAAATCTAAGGTAGCCAACATATTTATATATATTTGTATATATATAATATTTCCATATGATTTTCATATATATATCCATATATATATATATGGATTTCCAAATATTTCTTACTCTAAATGAGCAATGAGAAAGATATGTTAGAAAAAGGTAAGTATTGCCAGGTGCAGTGGCTCACGCCTGTAATCCCAACACTTTGAGAGGCCGAGGCGGGTGGATCACCTGAGGTCAGGAGTTTGAGAGCAGCCTGGCCAACATGGTGAAACCCTGTCTATACTAAAAATACAAAAATATTAGCCGGCTATGGTGGTGGGCGCCTGTAATCCCAGCTACTCAGGAGGCTGAGGCAGGAGAATCGCTTGAACCCAGGAGGTGGAGGTTGCAGTGAGCCAAGATCGCGCCAAGGCACTCCAACCTGGGCAACAACAGCAAAACTCCATCTCAAAGAAAAAGGAAAGTATTTAGAACTGCTGTATATGTGCATCTTGGTTGGTAGACCATGCTAATATGAATTACTTGCCACAGAGAGGCTAGCAAGATTTAATCTTATCTAAACACTGCATTACAGCATATAGCTACCTGATACTAATAAGTATGGACTAAAGCTGCAAATAACATATACTAAGGCAAACTCTTTGGTGATAGTGAAGTAGAATTTACCTGTATTCAAAGGAAAACTTACAAAACATCTGTAAGTTAAGTCTGTTGTAAGAAAAGGTATCGCTGCCATTGGCAAGCCAGCAGATATACGAGCCTTTGTCACATTCAAGATGCGTCGAAAAAGACTGTTTGCTATGAGGCCACAAAAAGCAGCATTTAATCCAACATAAACTGATCCATTTTCAAGTAGATTCCTGAAAGGGTGAGAAGAAAGAACTTTTTCTTTGGCTTTATTGTGTGTGTGAGCTTTCCCGATTCTGACACGTGTTACAGAACTTAACAGGACTTTGGGAATACACTAACTGGATATAACATCTATCCCTTATAGAACCAAAATCTTAAAAATTGCTTTATGTATAGGTTTTTGCTCTTCTCCCAGCAGCCAGTGGGTGCCTCTCCTCTGAGCTCCCATAATACTTACCTCTCTAGCACAACACATTACAAGACAGTACTATCTTATATAATCACTGATTTACATGTCAGGCTTCTACACTAGTCTTTAAACAACCGGAAGACAATGGATACAAAGATGTATTCAGCCTGACACAGAAGATGTTCAATAATGTGGAGTTAATGTGTTTCCTTTCACTCTTCCCTGAAACATTAGTGTCAGGATTGGGAGTACTAACATTTAAGCAACACCGTATGCTAGGTACTTTATAATAACCCATTGATGAGAAATAAACTGATGTTTTGAGATAGTGGTAGAACTGGATTTGAAGCGAAGGTTATGTATGAACTTTTAACCTATGTCCTATGCATTCTTTAGTTTTGGGAAAAAGTAATGCCTAACATGATTGCTGAATATTAAAAATATTGACTCCAAACTTTTCAGACTACTACTTAGCTTTTTTACCGCTTGCCTTGCTATCTACAATACAGTCAATCTTAAAATTTCATTACTCTTAACTAGCCATAGTAGCCACACAGTACCCCCTCTAACTTCTATGGCTTACACTCATCTAAAATAGCTTTTCTAGGAACTCTAAGCTTCCTACATTGTATAAGGTATTACTTTTCTTATCTGACACTGCAGTCATGATGCCTATCATTGAGAACCCCACTGTATGCAGCAGACTCAGTGCTAAAGGCACAAAAAATTATCTTCTATCTTCAAGGTTAACATAGTTAAATATTACTGGAGAAGAAAGATATGTAAACGAGATAGAAGTCTATGAAAATGCTCATGGTAGTACAAGACAGCAGCAGTTCAGGAACTTGGGGTACATAGATG